ACCAACAAAACCACAACTATCTCTGTAGCTCATCCAGCAGGGGAGAGTGCAGGGCAGGATGTCTGCAGCCTTTGGTGAACCTGATGGGCCAAGTCTCTTTAAATCATTGGGAGAGAAGTGTGGGATGCCTCGAGAGCCTGACGATAGCCTGAGGGAAAAGGGGTGGAAAAGGAAGGAATCAGGCAGACAGAAGAGCTGGACAGGTGGCATCTGGAAATCCATATTTTCCTTCCTAGGCATGAGAATTGGTGCCTATTACCCCCAACAGAATGCCATCTTCCTGCCCTGAGATCGGATATCTAACACCACTTCCTCCCCAGGAGTCTCCCTTTCTGTAAGAATCRGAGCTTTTCCTTCTAATTCTCGTGCTGGGGATGAGAGGATGGGTGTAGGGGAACCTTGATCATACAGGTGGATCAAACAATCCACGAGGGAGGGAAGGGGGAAGCAGCAGCCCATTTCCCACGGTGCTGGTTTAAACAGCCTCGCAATGTTTGGTTCTTGGGCTGCTTGGCCTCCTCTCCCTGCTGTGCTGAATCAAAGCTTCATAAAGTCCCTGCTCTTCTCTGAATGCAAAAGCAAAGCTTGTGACAGGCAGGAAATATTACTGCTGGCACCGGCTCGTCAGTGCATCAGGGGAGAACCATGCAACCAAAAATCCTGCACAATACTAATGAAATTATGTTGTCCATYCCCTGGAAGAGTAAAATCTGCATGTAGCACTGGAGATATGCAATAATTGCACGCAAAGCCTTGAGGAAAACATGAAAATTCAGAATACAGAACTAAAAAAGARGATATGATAAAGCTAACAACACAATATTAAAGAAAGAAACAAGTCTGGACAGTAGACCAATACACAAAATTTGCATAACACACAAAATCAAAACTGAACCAAAGCCAGTTTGTATTTTGGCTTGTTGAGAGAATTTTGAAGCACTCCAAAGCTGTGCTCCTCTAAGGAAGCTGTGATAGGAGGAGGGACTGAATTTTAGCTGGATACCTAGAACATCAGTTTGCTTAATAAAAAATAACAAGCTTTAAAATTATAGAACATCTCCTTCAACGTTTGCAAAGAAGCACCCTCCTGACTTTAAAACATCACTTGGACTTTCCCTTCTCTCACAACTCTGTGATGTGGGGGATGTGCTTGCATTCCTCATTGAATGATACATAACAATAATCAAGTGCTCATCAGCATAAAACCCCACACATGTTTCACATTAACTGAGAACATTTCCGAGGTCTGTAAATTGATCTATATTGCTGCATTCAAGTTCTGAAGTTATGACACAAAAATTAAGGAAATCACCAAGTTTATGGCTTGGGTTTATTAGAACAGAGTGCAAAACTTCGACCATTTATTAAAAAATGCATCAAGTGTAAAGCTGGGTTTCCCTACCAGCTAAGCAATGGTGAAAATCTCCTAAGGAAAATAAGGCAGGCAATAGTGACACTTGTGGTCATTTCTAGATTGCTATTTTTCATTCACTTACAAACATAYTTGGGATAGCTAAGAGACATGCTGSGATGAYGAAGTGGCCAAGCACATTCCGAGTATTTGCCAACCCTGCCTCCACTCTAGCTGAACTTACTGGAGAAGTATTCTTTTTGAAGGAATGAGGAGCATGGCCACCGGCCATATACGTAATAATTCTTAACATGGAAAATTAAAACTAAGCATTTATGACACTCTRCATTAACACAGTTCCCGAAGGTAAAAATAAAGCTTAAAAGTAAGAATAACCAGCCTTGAAAATGTTGCCATTCATCATTGTGAACTGTCACTTGAAAGGTTTTCAACACATTACAGCTGATATAATACTACGTTTTACTATGATAAAATGGAATAAACTTTGCAAAGGACTCATGGAGTACCAGAAAGCACAGTCCATAYGGGAACAGTGATAGGCCAGCTATGACCTAAGTATTTAAACTCTCATGGGGCTTGTGCCACCAGGCAGGAGTGACCAACAGGACATCCTGACTACTGCACTTATTCCATTCTGCCAATGTTGTTAAGACAGAATTTTACTTAATGGCCCAACCTATGAGTTCACTATAAAACCAGTCAGACATGAGCCTGTTGACACCCTCTAAAAACGACAYGTTTTTCAAGTTTTTTCACTAAATATTCCAAACCTACACGTGTTTGTTTTGCACAGGTACAYTTTGCTCAGTTGCCAGCTGTGACAGGCACAGGTTCCTGTCTCCTCTCACTCCCTGTCTGACTGAGCTTGGCAGGACCCGCTGAGCGCTCCGGTAACTCCGCCTGTTCCTCACACAGCCTGTACATCTTCACTTACTCCTTGTAGTCTTAATAGGTGGCAGCATTTCAAACACTAACATTGCAGCTTCTAATTTGGGATGTAACCATAGTAACATTACAGAACACATTACTCCCTGCATGGAGAACAAGCAGTCCGCTGACCCTTTGCGCTGAAATAAAGCTCATTCCAACCTCCAACCCAGCAAGATTACCAAAACCTGCAGGTCCTATTTCCAGGGCAAAGCAAGACCTCCCCTCCTGAAATACCCCCAAAGGCACAGGATCATGGAAAAGTAACAAAGAATAAAGTGCTAGAAAAGGAAAGGAAATTCTTCACAAAACTTTGAGTCTAAAGCTAGAGCAGTCACTCCAATGGAAAACAGTACAAAAATCAAAGTTTTTTCCTACTTTTCTGCAAGACGAGCAAAGACCTGCTCATCCTTTATTAAAAAAAAAAAAAAAAAAAAAAAAAAAAAAAAAAAAAAAATTTTTTTCTAATTTTTAAAAAAAAAAAAAAAAAAACTCTCAAAATTTATAAAAAAAAAAAAAAAAAAAAAAAAGACAATGAACAAAAGAAATTGGTCATAAATATTTAAGAATTCAATACTCAATTTGTTCACAAGGCAATATGACATTTTTCACACATATCAACAGACAACAGCTCTGCCTGAACTTTACAGGCTACACACAAGGGATATGGCCATTTAATTAAAAGCCAAAGCTGATGTCTGTTCCCTTCTAAATTTACTTTCAAAAGGATTCTATTTAGAAAAACAGCCCCTGGGATTTTTCTGTACCTTTAATATTTACTAATGAGCAATTACAGAAAAATTAAGACAGCTCTGCCCCCTCCAATACATCAACATCCTACAGCTCCCAAGCTTTAGGGGCTACACCAGGTACAGTGAAGCAGTAGCAAAAGGAGTTGAAACAGTTTTTAATAATCATTTTGTTGATATTTGAACTCACTTCCCACATCCAAGGTTACATGTGTTATCAGAAAATTCAAAACTCAGAGGCAGATTTAGATGTTGGTGTTTGACGAAAGCATTACTTCCTTCTGCTGAGGTCACAGTGGGTGCACTGACATGAATAACCCGCTTGGTTTCCGACTCCCAGCCCAGAGTGCAGCAAAGGGGAGGACTCCTGGCCACACTCTCGCACATTTGTGCACATCAGCACAGGCTACACAAAATTCTGGATATGTACAGGGCACGGAGAAGAAAGCTTTGTGTGTCTAAGTGGCAAATTGAGYAGTCTGGGCATATATGGAACTTTTCCATGTACTGATTCTCAATTATTCATGAAGGTCCCAGATCAGCAAGTGGTGCTGGACACAGGCCCTGTTCTCATGCTGCACCCTCACACTGACCCSTCCCCTCCAGTTTTTAAACACTGCTTTTTTTAGAGTGGAGGACATACAAAGTCTTTACTGATATGCACTTTATATTTATAATTACTATTTTTAAAATATGCTCATGATCCTAAAATGTCCTCAGATAGGATTAAAGGATTTGTGGAAATTGTTATTAGGTTAGGAAATGCTTGCATTACAAACAAGACTAAATTAATAGAGAAAGTTAGTGTACACAGATGATTTAGTTAGGAGGATCTAAATCTGATTACGTTTCTAGTAAATTATCATAATATGCATCTAGAATAATAAAACACACTGACTGCCTGGGGAAGCCTTATTTCCCAGTGAGGGACATGCCTACACCCAAACCTACAAATCAGACACACCAGATAAATTACAGTTTCTTTACCCTTTGGC